TTTATTGTTTTGAAATATGAAAACGCTAGACATTATTCCTGTACAACGAAAATTTGACGTATTTCTACAAATCTTTTCGCGTTTGGTAATTTTAGCTTTCTAATTGTTTGTTTTCTTTTACGTGTTTGTGTATTCCATTTCTTTTTTGAAATCTGTTTTTAACCATACGTTATACAACACCTTTTGCGAACATCATATGTGTGACGCTACAGTTTGAAATGGATTGATAAATTTAGTGCTTAGTAGTGTATTAGTTTTTGTCGGGACTTCAATTCTAATTTCTAGGTCATGAGTTTTTATTATGTAAGTTCTGTTGGGGTGGATTAAGGAGTGATGTGAGTAAAGGAAATAACTTTCAATTTTTGAGCCTGGATTGGGTATAGATTATTGAAGTTGCCGGCTTTGATCATACACGGTATGTATGCAAAGAAAATTTATGTTTGGTTTTTATTTCTTTCCTAAATACGGCGAGGTTCCAGAATTTAGAAAAACTCAACTACTCTAGTTAATGGATCAGATGAGAATATAGTGATATCCATTGTTGAACTCTTGATTATGGATCAGATAAGAATATTGTGGTATGCATTGTTGAAGTTGATTAAGCCTTTCAGTTTCAGAATGACTAGAATATTCGGTTGTACGGTTTTAAATTAAATGCAAGTCTTCTAATTCATGGATCATTGTAGTTTTCCTTCTCTTATACAGTTATACTTATAGTGCTGAACACATTGGGTTTCCTTGCTACCTTAAACTTTTGTTGCTTGTATAGTTGCTTGTACTTTTTCTATGGACATAGGAAGCCTTATATTTGTGATCTATTTCATTTGAAAAATTTGATATTTTAGTGGCTGGGTAACTTGAACTTTATATTATAATTCATTTGTTTTGTTCAATGAGAGTTGAATTGTGTTGAACTTTTAGCAGTTCATCGTCCTAGCATCATTTTTTGGATTAATATTTTATATGGTGGTGGTGCTATAGTATGCTCTTTAAATAAATTTGGTCATGGAGAATATGATTCACATTTCACACTCATTTATAACAGAGTTTGGTTATTTATTGGGTGTTTCAGCAAAGGCAAGGTGCTTGATCTTCTGAGTTGGTAAAATGGTTTCTTTTGAGATGAATGATCGAAAGAGTAAGTGGAATATGATACTTTCATTCTTTTATCTAGAATAATGATATCCTACTGATTTTGAAGTGATCTAGCATCTTTAATGTTTATCTGTAAGAATGAAATATTGTGGAGCTAGCTAGTTCCATAAATTACTTACCACATTCAAATATTCAGTTGAAAGTTACCTAGTTTTGATTTATTTTGATCCTGTTCAACGGTGCAATACAAGACTCCCACGATACACTGGGCACTCAGGGTCAGGGTCTGGGGAAGGGTTATTATCCTTTATCTACAAGTTATTAATTCTACAGTTTAAACATGATCACATGGTGACAACCCCAAACATTACACCAAGGCTTATTAGGGAGTGTATGTCTCAGTTTAAATAGAAGCAACTAGAAATAAGGAAATTAAAACACAATTTGTAACTAAATTTGTTTTATCAAAAAGTTAGAGATATAAGATCTGGTAGCCATTTTATAATGTAATGGTGGATACCAATTCTCTTGTAAAAAAGTAGTAGTCACAACATTGCTTCTACTTTTATTTAGATATTATTTTTCTTATAATTGGTTATTTCAAAGTAATGCATCACCTAATGAAGCTAATTGAGATTGACCAATAATGGCATTGTGTTTAACATTGTTAATATTGGTTCCCTTCTGGTTCTTGGACAAGAAGACATCTTTAGGATTATGTTATTAGTTTTCGCCAACTAATAACATTATACAGTTTTCAATAAATATATTAGTGTCTTTATGGTGTTGTATCATGGTGGATAGCATAAGTATTCATTTGACAAAACTGTGCATAAATTATTTTTCTGTATTACATATTTGATATCTACTACTGTCCTATTTTTTTTTAACGTATGTGATTGACACATGATACAGAGATTGGATTAGGGTTAACTGGCTTTGGTATATTTTTCTCATTCATTGGGATTATCTTCTTCTTTGACAAGGGATTGCTAGCCATTGGAAATGTACGATTCATTTACAAATTACCTGTTTAAGAAGTTGCTTCTTATTTGATTTTGCTTACTTACATATTTTTTGAGGCCTTGTTGATGCTCAAATCAGATCCTGTTTGTTTCTGGAGTGTCCCTAACCATTGGGCTGAAGTCCACTATGCAATTTTTCATGAAACGAAGTAATTTCAAGGTAAACTTGTTACATTTTATCTGTCTTTTCACTTGGTGCCCCGTACTTCCTTCATGGTAAATTTTCCCCACTGACGATTTACTCTTCTTCAAGGGGACAATCTCTTTTGGTGTCGGGTTCTTTATTCTTATAATCGGGTGGCCTATTTTGGGCATGATTATTGAGTTGTATGGATTCATCATACTATTCAGGTTTAGTGCAAATTTAAAAGAATTCAATTATGTTTTTTGTATTTTACATGCTTAAAGCTAATTATGAATTGTACTGAGCAGTGGATTCTGGCCTACACTGGCCGTTTTCTTACAGAAGATTCCTGTTCTTGGTTGGTTGGTTGAACAACCATATATTCGATCGGTATGTTTTTGTGATGAATTTGCCTGTCATCTTGAGTCTTCACAAAAGTATTTACTCATTCAGCGGTCTGGGTTTAGCTAAACATGTCAATAGCCAGTGTTCGTGAAAGTTATCAAGAAATTTTTAGTCACTTTGGTTGATGGATTGATCAATCTTGTTTTTCTCCAATAAGTGTGAATGTTGATATTAAGAGGAAAATTGACTATATAATGATCAATCTGACATTAATTGTTGGTTCTATATATCTGTCTAGAAGTTGTTGGGTGTTGCTTCTTCTGTTTCTTTCTATCAATCCCAATCCCATTAGAAGGATAACACCCAGGTTAAGAAATATAATTAACATTATTTATATTAAAATTATTTTTAACTTAATGACTCACGCTATTATTTCTGTCATTTATGATATTTGTGGAAAGTATATCAGAATTTGGTAGAGATAACGTCATGGTTGAGAACGTATTAATTGATGATATGAAGTGACACACTTTCTAGATATTGAAGCACTTTGCTTTTACTTGCCCATTATGCTGAAATTTTCAAACTGATCCTGCTAATTTTCTGTGCATTTGCAGCTGTTTGATCGCTATAGAGGCAAGCGAGTGCCCGTATAAGACAGGAATCTATGGAAACATAATGTAACTGCTAGCAGGTGCATTGTAAGTCAATGTAAAGAAAATACTCTAGTATAGATATCTAACTGAATTGAGTTCGCTTTTTGATGGTAGAAAATGATTATCATTTTATCATGATACTCATTCAACGGAAAGGAAAATTGCAAAGGGAAAAGGTTTTCACTTTACTATGATTCTAATACTTGGTGGAAAATCAATTGATATGGAGAGTGGTGCCATTTACGTTACGATTCCAATCAGAAACCTTTGGAGGTTTCCACGCCAAGTATCATCCTTTTGCCTTTTGTTCACACTCATAAAAGGAATATAATGGTTTTAGATGATGTCATTGCAGCAATATAGAACTATTTTCTTTCTGCAGTGTAACTTACTCTAAATATTGCACCTTTGACTACCATGGGATATTTTGTTTCTTAGAATTGGTGTTTTTCTTTTTTAGGCTGAGTTTTGTTATTTATGTGACAACTCATACATTTTATACGGTATTTTTGTGTTCATCATTTCTATTATATCACTTATTACATTTCTTTTCTACTTTAGATGAATAAATTGTTTTATGCCTTATTGCACAAATAACATTTTTTTGTATAGATCTAGTAGCACTTTTAGTATTTTAGTTTCATTTCTATTTTGAAATAATTTCTGTATTTCATTTTCTTGAACAAAAATTGTACATTTTATTTTCTCTTTTCAATTTTCTATTTAAGATCCTCAATATTTTATTGTCTTTTAAAATATTTATGCTGGATTTGGGATATGCTATTAATTTGAAAGTTAAAAAGTCAAGATTTGATAAAATTTGAAGGATTTAGTATAGTGTGAAATTAGGCTTTCAAGGGAAGATAGGGATGCTTTTATTTTAAGTGAAATTTGATATTGTTGAGTTAAAATTGCAAAATAGTTTAATTAATTTAATTTATGATTTTTTTTTAGCTGAAATAAGAAGTTAACAAATTTTGAAAATCTATAAGTATACTTAAAATTTATAATGACACATATTGCATATTCTACATTAACTTGTAATTTTATTATTCTGAATCAAACCCACAAATGAGAATCAAATTTTATCATAATAATTATTGTTATTTACGAGGAAGGGTGAATATATGGATATATGAATAACAAACTTTTTTGTGCAATAATAATTAATTAGCTTAATTAAATTTATGTCTTCTAAAAATATAAAAAAATTTTAATTAAAAAGAAAGTGTCTATTGAAATTTGTTTTTCAATTGCATCTTTATCATTTAATTTTTATATTTTATTTTATTATTGTAATATGGTTGTTATTTTGTTTTGTTATCTCATTGTTTTTTGCATGATAAAAATATGAAATTTTATTACTAATACAAAATAGTATTATTTTAAAAGAGCTTTTATTCTTTTAATCGGTCTAGATGATAATATAAAACTTACAAAGAAATATAACAATCTTCATTATGCATGCTATTAATTAAATTGATAAAAATTACTTATCATTTTATATTATCAACAATATCTTCTTATATTTATCACTAAATTTTACATTTATTAACACATGCAACACAGATTATATCTTCCTAGTAACTGACAAATTAAATGTCAGACTTAATAGTAAAACATAAGGATTTTGAGTATACAATAAACCAAATCTTTTTGATAAAATTCAATACAAAATATTCAAATTTATGAAGTATTAAAAGTTCAGTTAAGCCTAATTAATTTGCAAGTTCACTGTTAAACCTACCAACCTTGAGTGATTGATAAGTCCATTTAGATTAGACCTTAGACTTGAAATTTCGACAGGAGTAACATAAGAACCAATTAAAAATAAAATATTTTTTATAATTTGGCATATTTTAATATAGTCAATTTGAAAATGTATAAAAAATGTTTAAATAAACTGATAGGTAACACAGCATAGTTAGCTGGTACAATAAATAAGGGATTAAAGAAATGAATCATGCTAACTATAAATAAGAAAACAAGGTTGACAGGAAAATTGTATCTCGTGATCAGAGAAAAAAATTCATACTGTCATGAGAAAATCCATTGTTGATACAAAGTTTTGTTGATTTTCTTTAGATGATTTTAAGAAAAGCAGAATAGAATCTGAGCGTTGACCACAAACAACTTTGTAGATACACATCAATCATTCCACAGAGGTAACAAACTGGCAATTGTATGTTCCTATGTACAAAGAATTTGCCAAAACAGTAATTAAAATTTCCTCACTTGGGTTGGCTGTTCAACAACAAAATTCCCCATCTATTGACATATAATATAATTACACGAAATTCCATCCCCACCCTAAAGAAACAAAAGAACTCAAATGTTATTAAAAAGGAAAGAAAGCCTTTCATTTCAACTCCAATGAACTTCACTACCAAAAGAAGAAGAAAAAATTAAGTAGGAGCCAAGAGAATGAAGCAGAAGAAGTGCACAGACCATAAGGGATACAAATATATGCAGTAAGTCAAAGACTGAAAGGATATACATGTCAGCCAAAATTCTTCCACAGATTTTATGAAGCACACCTATTTGGCCAGTCAACTCCATGATGGTGATGACGGTTTATAGACAAAGTCTTGGGAAGTTGTAGAACCATAATTCAAATCAAGGTTATGGAGTTGTTCCATCAGCTGGGACCGCCGTTCCTTGAAAAAATCGAGACGAGTGGTTAACTCTACTAACGTTGAAGATGCTACAGATGGATGTCTTGCATATTCACCCACCTGAAACCAGTTCAACTGGGTCAGTTCCTAATCATCTCCATTCAGAAAGCAGTCAGATTCTGCCATAATATACAAGTAAAATCACACGTCGACTATAAATATGATCAAATTATAATATAAAAATAACTGTATACCTCATCTTACAAACTGATTTTGTAAAGTTAAATTAAGATAAAAATTTACTTTCTAAAAAGTACAGTACTCATGGCACTCGTATGTGTCAAAACTGATAGAATGATGTTACCGGAATTTTGCATAAAAAACACTTTTTGAAGACATTTCTTTATCTGAATGCTTACCTCTGCTGCCCTTGAGGTGGAGGGCACGGAGGCAGAGTCGACAGCACCGAGATCGTCTACGGACATGCTTGTTGATGCCTCAGTGCTTTTTGAATCACTAGGGCTTGACTCTACAAATTGCTTTCGAGAAGGCTGCCTACTACCATTACCAGATGCCAATACTTGTCCTTTGATATTTCTCCAATCAGTGCCCATCAAATTCTCCTGCAAAAATGCAAAAGGCAAATTTCACTGTTGTTTGAGTGCTTTGAACGATGAAATATATCATCCAAAAGTAATGAAGTAGTTTTATCATAAAAAAGAAATAATAAAAACAGACAGGGTATGAAATTAGAGAAAAAAGTGCTCTCTACCCAGGGATAGAAATACCATTTCCACCAGTAATACACCAAATTCCCCAATTTATAGAACCTTCAAATACCATTTCCATGGTAATAACGAGTACAAAAAGGAAAAGAAAATAACAAGAAAAGTTTTTTCTTCATTAATGGGGTTCATTATGGAACTACCTTTTGTAATCATGTATCAAGCATCAACTTAAGCAATTACTTAAATAATAAAAGGAAGTTATTGAAAAGGTTAGATTAAGGACACAGAGAAGATTCAACCTCCTTCCTGGCTGTTTTTCCTTTAAATTTTGATTGTGAAATAGACTATATAAAACACACCTCAGTTCTTTGTTTCCTTTCATGATTACAGAAGGCCAGGGTTGAATCAAAATCTTGCTGAAGAAATCTCCTGCATGAGTGAAAAAATAAGAAAAATAAATAGCTACAAAAGAATGAAATAATAAGTTCACATGGATTTCAATTAAAAGGCCGATCCCATAAAAGAATGAAATAAGTGCAGCAAGAAACTAGTGTTTGGCTAGGATAAGTACAAGCACAAGGGGGCAGAGGATACAATTACACAAAGAATCCTTTACAAAGAAATCAAGAAGAAAAAAAATCAACATTTCATCTCCATGTTTTAAGAAGTTTTTTTAAACGCAATATTGAGTATCAACTCAAGTGGGTACTTGGTCTTTTGAAGTTGGTAATATTCCAGTACATTTAAATTGAATTTGGCATCAAATTCATGTGGAACTGCACCCATTTTGAAATTTGAAGAAAATCAAAAAGCTTTTGTAATTAAATTTCCTATATAGTAGATTCTTCTTCTTGGTGTTAGAAATAACATAGGTCTGCATACTCACTGTTGAGGATGATTCTGGGCATGTTGGTATCGATCACCCACATCAGTAAGTGATCCATAGTGATGCTGTCGTTGCTGATTAAGTTGATGATGGAGTTCTGCAACCTTCTGCTTCAATCTGGCCACGTCGGCTTCGGCAAGTGCTATCTCTTCCAGTTCAGCCTTTGTCTGTATATTAGCATGCTTAGTAGAGGTTACTGAGAAAGACACCAAAAGTGAAAAAGAATGGTAAACATTACAAGAATACAAAAGCACCTTGGAATCCATGCCACGTGAATTGGAAAGCTGTCCTGAAGACATACTCAAACCTACTTCCAATGCAGCTCTAAGATCCCTCTCAGCTTGCAACTGTTCTTGCAATCTTGAAACCTGTAGATTAAAAAATCAGTGGCAACTTATTAAGGGCCAAAATAAAAAAATTTATATAAAATATGACAGAAATATAGCCATGAATGTTATTTTTATTGTACTTCAACTCTGGCTAGAACCATGATTTCTGATTAGCTAGGTAGTTTAATGCATTTTTATTGTTGAATGTTATTTTTTACTTGATATTTTTTTAATATCTTTAGCTATTTTGTGTTTATTTCACTGCCTTTCAGTCATTTTTTTTTCAAATGGATATACGACCAAAAGAGAGATATGGTATAACTTTTTGCAAAGCAATTATAAATCCCGAGCTTCAATCAATAGAAATACATCTCCAAAGGAGCTTTAGAAATTCCATAGAGTTCAAAAGAAAAAAAAAATCCCAATGAAGAAAACTCTTCCATATGTAAAACACTTTTAAATTATAATTTTTTTGAGCCGCCATCAGTAGTGTGAATTGTATTCTATCCATATCATAAATCATTGTAAAGTGGTTACATTTTTAGCAACCAATATCTTTCATAGATTATAGTAATACACAATAAAAATTCTTTAGACCACTTTTGGTTTTTGAAAAGAATAATTTACCCAATTTTAATTCAAGAGGGTTCAATATCTTTAGAGAAAAAAGCTGAGCAAATTATTTCAAGAATGCCAAACCCAAGAACGTCTAGAAATCACACATCACATTAAAAATAAGCAGCAGAGCACAGGAGAGACTAGTAAATAACATTTAAATGGTCTCAATTCATAATGGAAGGAGATAAATCAACAGTAAGTACATCTTGCTCAAGTGCCAATCGCCGCTCATGCAAAGCCTGCTTCCTTCTCTCTAAGCTTGCTTGTAAAATTGCATTGCCCCTAGCCTAAAATGAAAACAGGACCAATTCCGTTAAAATGTTCTCATTATATGCTTTGGCA